ACTGGACTTCTTTCAAACGATAAACTATAGAGTTTATCCTTGCCTTTTATTTATTTACATATCTTTTTGAGGGTCACACCTGGTGGGGCTCAGGGCTTCCTCCTGACTCTGAGTCCAGGGGACCATAGGAGATGCCAGGGATTGAGCCTGGTCAGCTGCATGCAAGGCGAGAGCCTCCTCCAGGCCCTGGATGGCGGGCGAGAGGCCGGAACACGTTTTCTGTGGGCAGGGGACAAGGCCTCCATTCCCAGCACCCCAGGGTCCCCCGAGCCTCACCAGGAGACACCCCATGCACCCAAGCCAGGCCTGTGCTCTGGGCATCACTCGGGTGGAGATCCAAAAACCAGAAAGTAAGAGCAGCAAGAATTTTTTTTTTAAATAATTGTATTGAGTCACCTGGGGCCATACAGTTACTAAGTTGTTCATATCAACTTTCAGCCACACAGTGTTCCAATATTCATGACTTCACCAGTGCACATCTCTCGTCACCAATGTCCCCCGGTTCCCTCCCGCCCGCTCCCCCCACCCTGTCCCCACAGCCTGCCTTTATGGCAGACACTTCTCTTCTCTCTCTCTCCTGCTGCATTATCACTCCGACCCAACAGATCATATATTTTTTTTTGTTGTTTTTTTTTTTTTGGAGTCTGATATTCTTTTTTTTTTTCCCCTTTATTTTATTTTATTTTTTTTAAAGTTGTAGATTTACAATTTTTTGTGCTTTGGTTTCAATTATACAATGATCAGATACCCATCCCTCCACCAGTGCCCATTTTCCACCACCATGGATAATATCCCTCCCACCCCCATCCCCCCATCCCCCCTGTCTCCGTGGCAGGGCAATCCCCTGTGTTCTCTCTCTCCTTTTGGGTGTTGTGGTCTGCAAAAGAGGCATTGAGTGGCAAACATGTTCAGTCCATAGTCTACTTTCGACATGCATCTCCCCTCCTGGGAGGATCCTCCAAACATCCTTTATTTGGTGCTCCCTTCTCTATCTGAACAGCCCTTTCCTCTAGGATACCCGGCTGGCCTCTAAGTTACAGAGCATATATTTTGTGTGAAACAAGCTAAATAAGAAAACGAGGGCCAGAGTGAGACGGTACAGCCAGCAGGGTGCTTGCCTTGCACTGGGCTGAGCTGCATTCGGTCCTCAGCATCCCACAGGGTCCCCACGAGCTTTGCCAAGAATGATCCCTGAGTGCAGAGCAAGAGCAACCCCTGAGCACTGCTAGAGGCGGCCAAAACAAACAGGTGAGAGGGTGAAAACACAACTGAGTGCTTAAAGAGACGCTGTGGTGGGGATAGGAAGTTTGTTTCAGGAAAGTCCACAGAGCGGAGTCCCCGAGGACAGGGAGGATATGGCCACACACTCCAGGACGGTGACTGTGTGCGAAACTAGCCCAGCTCATGCCGCTTCAACCCAGGCCAACATCTCTTAGTCTCCCAGAAACTGTGGGCCTCAGTCCAGAGAGGACACGCCAAGGACAGTTTGTTTCTGTTCCGTGGTGTTTGGGGGCTCGGCTGGAACTCTCTAGTGCTTGGAACAGATCATTTGAAACAAGACGGTCGATGTTCCTGTCAGCGAACTGCCCTCCGTGTCACTGAAGGAGCAGGTGAAAACGTCCTGGAGAGGAGAGCTGTACACTGGGTGTGGAAGAATTTAATGTTAGGTTAGCTATTGTTTTTTTTTTTTTTTAAAGATATCCAGAGTCTCCTGCCCCCGTGCCTGGCTGTCCTCACCGGGGCTCCTTGGAGGGAGGAGGGTTGAGTTTCTCTCCCCACCCACCCCCGCCCCGAGCAGAGCCCCAGCAGCTGAGGACCTCCAGAGCCAGCCACGGCCATGCTGGGACCACTCTCCACACGTCCGGACGGGCCTCATGCATGAAGGAACTGGCAGAGGAACCCAGGCATGCGGGTCCCGGGGCTGAGGTCTCCAAGCCTACTCGGATTGGGACTGGGCCTTCTCCACCCAGACCCCCCATCTTCCAGTAGGTAGGCGTCACAACCACCAGCTGCCGCCAGCACCAGGTTGGCCCCATCAACAGCCAAAACGCAGAGACTATAAAACCCAGCTCCCGGAAGCTTACATCTTACATCTTATTATCTTATTTTTTGGAGAACCTGGCAGGCTACCAAAAGTATCCTGCCCGCACGGCAGAGTCTGGCAAACTTCCCGTGTCGTACTCAACATGCCAAATACCAGTAACAATGATGGGTCTCGTCCTCCTAATCCTGAAAGAGCACTGAAATGACTCTTTTAAAATCTCAGGGCTAGGAAGAAGGAGACATTACTGGTGCCTGCTTGAGGAAATCGACGAACAACAGGATGATCGTGATCGTGATCCATCATCTAATTGGCTGGTTCCAAAAAAATATGAGTTAAATTTGAAAATCGCATTTGAAACAAGAAATACTTTTTTACAGAAGAGGTTTTTTTATTTTTTATTTGTTTGCTTTTTTTTTTTTTTGGAGGGTCACGCCCAGCAATGCGCAGGGATTACTCCTGGCGCACGCACTCAGGAATTACTCCTGGTGGTGCTCAGGAGACCATATGGGATGCTGGGAATCGAACCCGGATCAGCTGACTTCCTGGGTTGCCCCCACCCCTAAGGATACAAAATTACATGTGATTTCCCACACTTTCCTTTGTGCTACTCTTGGGCAACTGTCAGTGTTTCTAAGTATATATACGAATCCCTTATCACCTCTATTCCCAAAGAAACAACTTGCAGCTTTTGAAGAACTCTGGAAACTTCTATCCCTCTGCCCATACCTTCCCCATAAAAATTACGCACTCTTTCTGACATTTGTGCATTTGACATTTTCTAAAGCACATGGTTTGTATTCCTTTTGGAGCATACAACCTTGGCTTTTTGTTGCTGTTGTTTAATGGGAGGAGGGCCACAGCGATGGTACAGCGGGTTGGGCATCTGCCTTGCACGAGGGTAAGCCAGGTTGGTCCCCCGAGCACCACCAAGAGTAATTCCTGAGCGCAGAGCCAAGAGTAAGCCCTGAGCATTGCTGGGTGTGGCCCAAAACACAAAAATAAAATGCTTTTAATGGAGGCCCACCCGAAGGTGCTCAAGAATCATGCCTTGAGGCCAGAGTGACAGCACTGCTTGGGAGGGCATTTGCCTTGCACACAGCTGACCTGGGCTCGATCCCTGGCATCCCATATGGCCCCCCAAGCACCACCAGGAGTAATTCCTGAGTGCAGAGCCAGGAGTAACCCCCTGAGCATGTTAGGCGTGGCCCAAAACATAACAAATAAAAATAGCACTGTAGCACTGTCCTCCCGTTGTTCATCAATTTGCTCGAGCGGGCACCAGCAACGTTTCCATTGTGAGACTTGTTGTTACTGTTTTGGGGATATCGGATACACCACGGGGCAGGATACTCTCGGTAGCCTGCCGGTAACTTGCCGGGGCTCTCAGAGAGGGAGGGAAGAATTGAACCCGGGTTGACAGCGTGCAAGCAAACGCCCTACCCCCTGTCCTATTGCTCCAGCCAAATAAAAAATAAAAGAATCACTCCTGGCAAGGCTGCAGAATTAAGCGGTGCCTTGGATGGAATCCAGGCCACCTGCACCCAAAGCTTCCAGTCCAATGAATGAGCTGCCCTTGGGTCCCAAGACTTTTTTTTTTTTAAGTTTTATTGCATCACCATGAGATACAGTTACAAACTTGCATGACTGCTGCTTCAGTCACACAGTGCTCCAGCACTCACCCCTCCACTACAGCTCCCAGTATCCCACCCCGCCACCCCCAACCTACCCCACCCCACCCCACTCCCTTGCCTCTGTGGCAGGTCTCATCTTTCTTCCTCTAAGACTTTCTCAGAGCTGGAGCAAAATGAATAGCACAGTGGGGAGGGCATTTGCCTTGCACACGGCCAAACCGGGTTCGATTCCCAGCATCCCATATGGTCCCCTGAGCACCACCAGGAGTGGTTCCTGAGTGCGGGGCCAGAACCCCTGTGCATCTCCAGGTGAGACAAAAAAGTAAAAAAATAAAAGAACAGATGCATAAAAAAAAAAATCAGGGCTGGAGTGATAGCACAGTGGGTAGGGCGTTTGCCTTGCACGCGGCCGACCTGGGTTTGATTCCCAGCATCCCATATGGTCCTGTGAGCACTGCCAGGAGTTAATTCCTGAGTACATGAGCCAGGAGTAACCCCTGTGCATCGCCAGGTGTGACCCAAAAAAGCAAACTAACAATAATAAAAATAATAATAATAATAAAAGTAAATAAATGAAAATTAAAACTCAGGGCTGAGAGACAGCTCAGAGGTCCAGAGCATCTAGTCGCATGCAGGAGCCAGAAGTGGATCCTCCCGGGCTGGAGCGATAGCACAGCGGGGAGGGCGTTTGCCTTGCACGCAGCCGACCCGGGTTCGATTCCCAGCATCCCATAGGGTCCCCTGACACCGCCAGGAGTAATTCCTGAGTGCAGAGCCAGGAGTAGGCCCTGTGCATCACCGGGTGTGACCCAAAAAGAAAAAAAAAATTTTTTAAATGCAATTAAGGGAGCTGCAGGGATAGCACAGCGGGGAGGGCATTCACCTTGCACGCAGCCGACCCGGGTTCGATTCCCAGCATCCCATGTGGTCCCCCGAGCACCGCCAGGAGTTAATTCCTGCGTGCATGAGCCAGGAGTAACCCCTGTGCATCGCCGGGTGTGACCCAAAAAGCAAAAAAAAGAAAAAAGCAAAAAAAAAGAAAAAAGCAAAAAAAAGAAAAAAGCAAAAAAAAAGAAAAAAGCAAAAAAAAGAAAAAAGCAAAAAAAAAAAAAAAAAAAAAGACTTTCCCAAGAGTGCGTGTGCGTACCCCGGCCCAAGCACGAAGCCCCCAGCCGGCCGAGCAGCTCCGGCGCGGCCCGTTTCCCGGCGGCCGAAGCGCAGCCGAGCCCGGGGCGGCCCGCCGGGCGCGGGGCATGCCGGGAAGTTCCGGGGCGGGCGCGCGGCCGGCAGGGGGCGCGCCGCGGGAGCGCGCCGCGGGAGCGCGGGCGGGCGGGCATGGCCGGGCGCGTGTGGACGCTCGGGCGCCGCGCCGGCCTCGGCCTCCTGGGCCGCGCCGGGGGTCGCCGCGCGGTGAGTGAGCGAGCGGGTGGGCGCGGGGCGGGAGGCCTCGACCCCGGGGCGGGGGCGGGCGGGGGCGGGGGCGCGCGCGCGGGCCGCCCGGCTGCGGGGACCTCCGCGCGCGCTCACGACGCCCGGCCGGGGGCGCGCGCGCGCGTGTCCGTTGGGTTAACGGGGTGTCGTGGGGGGAGGGGCGGGGGCGCGTTTCCGCGGCAGGGGGCCGCCCCGGGGTGCCCCTTTCGCACCCCCAAAACCCAAGTGCGGATCGAGAGGCCCGAGCGAGAGCTAGGAGTGAGCCCGGAGCATCGACACCCCCCACCACCCCCGCCCAAAAAAGTGTGGATATAGTTGTGTGTCTGTGTATGCGTGTGTGTGTGTGTGTGTGAGATGTTAGGGCTATGTTGTGTGCAGTGTTAGTGCAGAGTGCTGTGCGTGTCTGTGATGTTGCTGCTGTGTTGTGTGCAGTGCAGGTGCAGACGTGTGTGTGTGTGTGATGTTAGTGATGTGTACAGTGTGGCCTGTGTGCGTATCTAGCGCTGTGTTATGTGCGGTATTAGTGCAGTGGTGCGTGTATGTGTGTGTGTGGGGGGGGTGACATTAGTGTTCTATTGTGTGCAGTGTTAGTGCAGTGTGCTGTGTGTGTCTGTGATGTTAGTGCTGTGTTGTGTGCAGTGCGGGTACAGTCTGGTGTGTGTGTGTGTGTATGTAGTGTATAATGTTGGTGGTATGTTGTGTACAGTGTGGCCTGTGTGTGCATACTAGTGCTATGTTATGTACACCGTTAGTGCAGTGGTGTGTGTATGTGTGTGTGTTTGTAATATTAGTGTCATATTGTGTGCAGTGTTAGTGCAGTTTGCTGTGCGTGTCTGTAATGTTAGTGCTATGCTGTGTGCAGTGCTGGTGCAGTCTGGTGTGTGTGTGTGTATGTAGTGTGTAATGTTAGTGATATGTTGTATACAGTGGTGTGTGTATCTAGTGCTGTGTTATGTGTGGTATTAGTGCAGTGATGTGTGTATGTGTGTGTAATATTAGTGTCATATTGTGTGCAGTGTTTAGAGCAGTGTGGTGTGTGTATAATGTTAGTGCTATGTTGTGTGCAGTGTTAGTGCAGTGGGGTGTGTGTGTATAATGTTAGTGCTATATTGTGTGCTGTGTGTGTTGTGTGTGCAGTGTTAGTCCAGTGTGCTGTGTGTCTGGAATGTTAGTGCTATGTTGTGTGCGGTGCTAGGGCAGTATGGTGTGTGTGTGTGTTTGTGTGTAATGTTAGTGATATGTTGTGTACAGTGTGGTGTGTGTATATACTCGTGCTCTGTTCTGTGCAGTATCGGTGCAGTGGTGTGTGTATGAGTGTGTGTAAGTGACATTAGTGTTCTATTGTGTGCGGCATTTAGAGCGGTGTGGTGTGTGTGTGTATAGTGTTAGTGCTATATTGTGTGCAGTGTGGGGTGTGTATGTATGGTGTTAGTGCTATGTTGTGTGCAGTGTTAGGCCAGTTTGGGGTGTGTGTGTGTATGGTGTTAGTGCTATGTTGTGTGCAGTGTTTGCGGTGTGTGTATGTTGTGGGCAGTGTTAATGCAATGTGGTGTGTGTATAGTGTTAGTGCAGTTAGTGTGTGTGTGTGTGTGTGTGTGTGTGTGTGTGTGTGTGTGCGTGCTGTGTTTCCAAGCCAGGGCTTTTACAAAGGAAGTGCTCGAAGGGAGGGAGGCGGCTTGTCCGGGCTGCTGGGTATCCAGCGCTGAGGGCAGGAGGGGGAAGGACCCTCTCTGCAAAGGGCCGCGTCTCATCTTCTCCTTCGCGGGAATGAGAGTTTGGCTTCCTGCCCCCCAGGACGGGAGGGAAAGGAGCCGAGACTCAGGATGGGCCCGACATGTCCGGGGGTCTCCAAGCTGGGCCCCCGGGTGTTGCGGTGCAGGGCAGCGGGCAGTCGGCCCTCGGGACGGAGCTACCTGGGCACCAGCACCTGGGCAGGTGATGTTGTGGGTGGTGACGGGAGCAGGTGAAGCCCAACCCCGATGGAGCGCGGAGCTCTCGGGAATATGTTTTTGTGCTTTTTGAGTGGTCGTTTGTTTGTTGGGGGCCCACACCTGGCTCAGGGATTACACCTGGTAGGCTTGGGGTCATGTGGGGTGCGGGGAATCGAACCCAGGTCTGATAGGATAGCGCCCTACCCGCGATACTGTCGCTTCCGCCCCGGGAGTGCCGGAGTCTGCACGCGAGGCCTCAGCTTCCCTGGGCTGTGCTATTTGGCTCACACCCCGTGTGTAGACACAGCAGCGGGTTGGCGGGGACCCAGCGGTGGATCGCGGCTTCTCTGGGCCACCTCTCGGGACGGCCGTTCCAGTCGCGCCAACCCTCCTCCGGGCACAAGACCTTCGTCCTTTCTGACTTGCCCTCACCCCTGCCTGCACCCTCTGCTCCATTTCTGACTTAACAGGAGTGACGAGATCTCTGTGGGGCCCCCGGGTGGGACTTTTACAAGGACTGTTGTCGGCTTGAGCCCACCCAGTTTGAGCTGACCTGCAAACCCGCATCACGCCTGTTTTTCTTTTCTCTTTCTTTCGTTTGGGGGCCTCACCCGGCAGCCAGTTCTCAGGGTTTATTCCCGGCTCTGTGCTCAGGGATCATTCCTGGTGGTGCTCCAGGGACCCAGTGCAGGGCTGGGGACCAAGCCAAGCTTAACCACATGCTGACTGCATGCCAGGCAAGCGCCTGAGCCCCCGTATTCTGTCTGTCTGTCTCTCTCTCTCTCTCGCTCTCTCTCGTTCTTACCCTACCCCCATGCTTGGGGCTTACTCCTGGCAGTGATGAGAGGACCAAGCAGTGCCAGGGTTGTATCCAAGCCTCCAGCTTGCAAAGCTTGCGCTCAGCCCTCTGAGTGCGCTCGCTCTCTCTCTCTCTCTCTCTCTCTCTCTCTCTCTCTGGCCTCTAGACCTCTTCTTCCCTGTTGAATGAATCAGATTTGTTGACGCTCTGTTTCACGGTTCCCTTGCACACCTCCAGCACCCGTGGAGTTGGGGCGTTGACTGGCCACTGGGACCACCTTGCTGTCCCGTTCATTTGAGGCATCGCTGCCCTGACAGTCTTGCGCTCCAGAGATCAGCAGGATCTGGCCAAGGGCGCCGGCTTCAGTCTGGTTTTTCTCCGCCGCCCGACATCTGCCCGCACTGGCCGGCAGAAAGAAAATGGTAGCCATCTATGTCGTTCTAAATTTTCTGGTAGCTCTGCGGGAAAAGGTAAAAGTTAAAAAGTTATTGAGATCAGGGCTGGAGCAATAGCACAGCAGGTAGGGCGTTTGCCTTGCACGCGGCCAACCCAGATTCAATTCCCAGCATCCCATATGGTCCCCTGAGCACCGCCAGGGGTGATTCCTGAGTGCAGAGCCAGGAGTGACCCCCTGTGCATTGCTGGGTGTGACTCAAAAAGAAAAAAAAAAAGGAATTGAGATCAATTTCAGCGACGGATTGAGGGTTCCAGTGTTATCCAAACTTCTATCGTTTCTTGGGGCCGGAGTGATGTAGTACAGTGGACAGGACACTTGCTTTGCAGGCCGCTGACCTCGAGTCACTCTTCAGCGTCCCGTATGGTCTCCCGAGTACCGCTAGGAGTACTCCCTGAGCGCAGCGCCAGAAGTCAGCCGTGCTGAGCACCGCCAGATCCCCAGACCTGGGGAGAACAAATAAACAAACAAAATACTATTCCCATTATGTCATCACTCCTGGAAAAAGTCATTGCCCGGGGGCAGGAGAGAGAGCTCTGTGGACAGGGCTCAGGCTTTGCGTTCGAGAACCCGGGTTTGATCCCAGCACCACAGGGTCCCCCACGCACCTGTGCTATGAGTCCCAGGAAACCCACAAGCAAAAACAGGAATTAGGGGGCTGGAGCGATAGCACGATGGGTAGGGCGTTTGCCTTGCACGCGGCCAACCTGGGTTCGATTCCCAGCATCCCATGGGGTCCCCTGAGCAACGCCAGGAGTGATTCCTGAGTGCAGAGCCAGGAGGAACCCCTGTGCATTGCCAGGTGTGGCCCCCAAAAAAAGCAAAAAAAAAAACAAAACAAAAACCATGAATTAGCCAGAGAGACAGTACAGCAGGTAAGGCACTTGCCTTGCATGTGGCCGACCCGGGTTCGATTCCTGGCATGGCATGGGCTCCCCCCTCCCTCCCTCTGCCCGCCCCAAACACTGTCAGGAGTGACCCCTGAGTTCAGAGTCAGGAGTAACCCCTGGGGATCGCTGGGTGTGGCCGCCAAAAAAAAACTCAAAAAGTTGTTTTTCGAGTAATTACTGGGCTGTTCTGTGTTCTTCTTTCCTTCCTTTTTAAAACTGTGTCGTAGCCCCCCACCCCACCCCAACCCCTCACATTGCTGGGAGGCCCCCTCCAGGCTTCCCTGGGCAATGCCGCCCTGAGGGTTCAGCCTGAGCACTTGGTGCCAGGGCCCGGTGGTGCTCCCACCCCCGTCCCCCACACGCCTGCCCCGCATTCGCTCTGGCAACACACAGCCGTCTCGACCCTCGGTGTGCGTGGAACTAAAGGTGACCACCTCAGGGTCCCCCCAGCACAGCCAGATGTGCCCCCACTCGCTGCGAACCTTTCCAGTCCCAGTTCTCCGTGGCTCGAGCATATGTGAATGGTCAGAGCTGCCCGTTGCCCGCGGCGGCCACCGAGCTTAGCTCTGAGGCAGGCGTGGGCAGCGTTTGATGGTGGCTCTCGGCTCCCTGACCCCCCCAGGGGGGCCGCTCCCCAACTCTAGGGACTCGGGGGCAGCTGACGGCCTCGGCCCTGCCGAGGCCTGTGCCTGCCCGCCTCTAGGCGGGAGGAGAGACCCGGACTGAGTGTCTTTCTTGATCTATTTGGCGGGTTTGTTGTGGTTGTGTGCTCAGGGATCCCTCCTGGTGGCCTTCTCGGGACCGTACAGGATGCCGCAGATTGAACCCAGACTGAACCTGCCTGTCATCCTGTCATCCCGGCCTTATTCATAAGCAACTCTCATTTTTAAACTAAACACAGGGCGGCCAAAGATGTAATGACTTGCCGGAGCACTAGAACAGCGGGTAGGGCGTTTGCCCTGCACGCGGCCAACCCGGGTTCGATCCCCAAGCATCCTCTGTGGTCCCCCACACACCGCCAGGAGTGATTCCTGAGTGCGGAGCCAGGAGTGAGCCCTGAGCATCGCTGGGTGTGACCCAAAAAGAAAAAAAAGGTGGGGGGTGGCTGGAGCAATAGCACAGTGGGTAGGGCGTTTGCCTTGCACGTGGCCGACCTGGGTTCAATTCCCAGCATCCCATAGGGTCCCCTGAGCACCGCCAGGAGTAACTCCTGAGTGCAGAGCCAGGGGTAACCCCTGTGCATTGCCGGGAGTGACCCAAAAAGAAAAAAAAAAAGAATGTAATGACTTGCTGCGTTGTGGCATACACAGGAAACCAGCCCGGTCCCTCTGAGGCGAGCCTGTTTGAAAGACCAGCCCTCACAGTCCTCCGCCCAGTGCCAGAGAATTCACCTGCTTGCAGAGCTCGGTTGCCCAGAGGCAGCCCTGTGTATCTTTCACGTCTATGATCGGATGCGTGGAGAGCAGCGGAAAATCGGAATCCGCTCCCGCCAGAATATTCCTGCTGAGGCCAAACAGAATGCAGCTGTGCCTCTTCCTGTCTTTCTGCCTGTCTGTCTTCTTTTCTTGTTTTGGGTGCACCCCAGCAGTGCTCAGGGCTTACTCCTGGCTCTGCACTCAGGACTCCCTCCTGGCAGTGCACAGGGGGCCACACGGGATGCCAGGGATGAAACTTGGGTCAGCCGCCATGTGCAGGGCAAGCGCCCTTAACACTGTGCTATCGCTCCAGCCCTGCTGTGCCTGTTTTTTTTTTTTTTTTTAGCTCAAACCATCTCCTTTACACTCTCTGTTTAGTGGCACTTTTTTTTTTAATTTTGGATGGTTTGAGCCACGCTTAGCGGTACCCCAGAGCTACTCTTGGAGGTGCTCAGCAGAGCACATGGTGCCAGGGATTGAATCCGTCAGCCACGTATAAGGCAGGTCAGTACCTTAACCCCTGTGCTACCTCCCTGGCCCTCTCTGTGCTTTTCAGTGGTGATTTCACTGGTGAAAATGATCCCAGAGAACATAAGGTAACAAAATAAGAGACTAACACCCAAGAGTAGCCGAGATAAGTACCAGGAGGTTCACTCCATGGCTTGGAGGCCAGCCGCACACGCGAGGAAAAAAGGCAGCTCAGATAGAGAAGGGAGCACCAAATCAAGGGTGTTGGGAGGATGGGAGAAGCATGCTGAAAGTAGACTATAGACCAAACATGACTGCCACTTAATGCCTCTTTTGCAAACCACAACACCCAATAGGAGAGAGAGACAACAAAAGGGAATGCCCTGCCACAGAGGCAGGGTGGGGTGGGGGGATGGGGGGTGGGAGGGATACTGGGACCCGTGGTGGTGGAAGATGGGCACTGGTGGAGGGATGGGTGTTCGATCATTGTATAACTGAAACCCAAGCACAAACATTTGTAAGTCTAAAACTGTACCTCATGGTGTCTCACTAATAAAAATTAAAAAGAAAAGAAAATGACCCCAGAGGTCTGTGGGAGTCCTGGGCTTGGTCCCTGCACACACGGTCCACCAGCTGGTTCCAGGTGTTACCTCCAAGCACAGAGCCAAGAATACTTTCCCGAGCACCATCAGGAATGGCCCCGAGTCCCCAAATTAATGGCGATGAAGATGATGATGAATAAAAGAAGGTGGGGAAAACTCCTAAGAAATATTCCCGGGGTTGAGGTCAGAGTGATAGCACAGTGGATATGGCATTTGCCTTGCACGCGGCCAACCTGAGTTCGATTCCCAGCATCCCATATGGTCCCTGAGCACCGCCAGGAGTGATTCCTGAATGCAGAGCAGGAATAAGCCCTGAGCATCGCTGGGTATGGCTCAAAAAAGCAAAAAAAAAAAAAAAAAGAAGAAGAAGAAAAATACTCCTGGGGGGCCCAGAACAATAGTACAGCGGGTAGGGCTTTTGCCCTGCACACAGCTGACCTAGGTTCGATTCCCAGCATCCCAAATGGTCCCCCAAGCACCGCCAGGAGTGCATGAACCAGGAGTAACTCCCGAGCATCGCCAGGTGTTACCCAAAAAGGAAAAACAAAGGTGGGGGGAGACATTGACAGACTGCGGTATACTGAAAAGTTGAATGTTCTTCCTTGCTTTCAGCATGTGACTCCCCACTGTCTCGGCCTGGTCCTGACCATCAGAAAGCAGAGCGTCTCCTTGGTGACCCTCAGAACCACGGGGACTTGGGGCGGCCCCAGGTGAGATCAAGCATCTGCTTCCCCGTCTTCTCCCGTCAGTGCAGCGTTTGCACGCGTGCGCACACGCTCTTGCAGTGAACCGGCCGTAAATGTCGGGATTGCGCCCCAGTCCATTTTCCCACTTCCCTCTTGCTGGGCGTTGGGGTTGTTTTCCGAGAGTGGTCGGGTGCTCACCTCTTTGCCGTCTCGGGAGCGAGGGCAGATGCAGCTCTGACACACAATGCACTCGTTCCCGGGTGGTTCCTGGCCCTCCCCAGGCCAGGCCGCCTCCCCAGAATGGTCCAGGAGCTTCCAGTGTGGCTGTCCCCACTAGGGCCCTCCTGTCCCCGGCAGGCGAGGCGGGTCTGCCCTGGCCATTGGATGTCGGATGTTCTTTAGGCGATGGGCAAGGTGGCGTGACTTTGACCACGAAATTCCGGAACATTTTTTTTTTTCAGTTTTTATTAGTGAGACACCATGAGGTACAGTTGTAGACTTGCAAATTTTTGTGCTTGGGTTTCAGTTATACAATGATCGAACACCCATCCCTCCACCAGTGCCCATCTTCCACCACCACGGGTCCCAGTATCCCTCCCACCCCCCACCCCCCATCCTGCCTCTGTGGCAGGGCATTCCCTTTTGTTCTCTCCTTTTGGGTGCTGTGGTTTGCAAAACAGGCATTGGGTGGCAATCATGTTCGGTCTATAGTCTACGTTAAGCATGCCAGGTTTATGTGTGTGTTAAATTTCTATAGACTCTCATTAAATAGAGAATGCCGGGAATTGAACCCAGGTTTCCTGCACGTAAAGCGTTTGCTCAGCCCTTTGGACTTTCTCTACTCTTTGTGTGTGTGTGTGTGTGTGTGTGTGTGTGTCTGCTTTTTGTGTGCATAGGTGCGGTGTTGGGCTTGGTGTATTCAGGAGCTAGTCCTGACTCTGGGCTTGGGGGGCCTTACGCGGTGCTGGGGATTGAACCAGTATTGGCCACATGCAAGGTAAGTGCCTTCATTCCTGTGCTATTTTCCTGGCCCTCTTTCCACTTCTCCAGATTGCCTTTCATTTATTTATCAATTCATTTATTTTTTTCTCCACACACAGACACATTCTGCAGCTCTTGAATTTAATTGCGTTCAGTCTTCCACAAGTAGGTGCTGAATCGCGTCTCTCAGTCTTGATTTGGGTGAGGATATTCTTTGCCTGGGCTGGAGTGATAGCCCAATGGGTAGGGCCTTGGCTTGCACGCAGCCCACCCAGGTTCGAGTCCCCCGTCCCTCCCGGAGAGCCCGGCAAGCTACTGAGAGTGTCCCGCCCCCACGGCAGAGCCTGGCAAGCTCCCGTGATGTATTCTTTTTTTTTTTTTTTTTTTTGCTTTTTGGGTCACACCCGGCGATGTTCAGGGGTTACTCCTGGCTCATGCACTCGGGAATCACTCCTGGCGGTGCTCGGGGGACCATATGGGATGCTGGGAATCGAACCTGTATCGGCCATGTTGGCTGCGTGCAAGGCAAACGCCCTACCCGCTGTGCTATCGCTCCAGCCCCCCGCGATGTATTCGATATGCCAAAAACAGTAACAACAAGTCTTACAATGAAGATGTTACTGGCGCCCGCTCTAGCAAATCGATGAACAACGAACGGGAGGATAGTGTTACCGTGCTCATTAGATAGAAATACATTTTTGTTTTGTTTTTGAGTCACACCTGGCAGTGCTCAGAGGTTATCCCTGGTTCTGCACTCGGGAAATCACTCCTGGAGGGGTCGGGAGACCATATGGGCTGCCCGGGATCGAACCCTGCTAGACGATCGATCACTCCGGCCCCTGTAAATCCACTTTTGCCTGGCTTCTTCCAGTCACCGGTCGGGGGCTGAGATCATGCAGACTGTGTTGCCTCTGGAGCCGGTTCTGTTTTGCTCTCCCTGACTTCGATTGCACGAACACACCACACTTGCCCTGTCGTGTTGCCTGTAGATTTTCACGCGGCTTCCACGGCAGGGCTAGACGGGGCTTCTGCCGTGAACAGTCCAGTGTCGTGCATGTCTGTGTTTTTGGACAGGGGCTGGGGCCAGTGGTCAAACCCAGAGCTTCCCACACGAGACCTGTGCCCTGCCACTCACACACACACACACACACACACACACACCAGCCCGTGCATGCCTTCTGGCAAAGTTGGAGCTGTGTATCTGTCGGGTGCGTCCCCAAGAGTAGAATTAGTGGCACAGGAACGGACACAGCTTCCGTAGATACTGCCCAGCGGCTCTCCAGGGCCATTGCCCAGTAGTTGACTTGCCGTCAGCCGTAGCTGAAAGTTCGAGTTACTTCACGTACTGGTCAACTCCACCTCTCATTTTATTTATTTTTTTATTTTATTTCATTTATTTATTTATTTTTGCTTTTGGGTCACACTCGGGATTGCACAGGGGTTACTCCTGGCTCTGCATTCAGGAATTACTCCTGGCAGTGCTCGGGGGACCATATGGGATGCTGGGAATCGAACCTGGGTCGGCTGCGTGCAAGGCACATGCCCTACCCGCTGTGCTATCGCTCCAGCCCTTCCATCTCTCATTTTAATGATCTGATGGCATCTCATCAGTGGGTTTTGTTTGTATTTTCTGGGTGTTTTTTGTTTTTTTGCTTTTTGGGTCACACCCAGCGATGCTCAGGGATTACTCCTGGCTCATGCACCCAGGAATCACTCCTGGCGGTGCTCGGGGGACCCTATGGGATGCTGGGAATCGAACCTGTGTCGTCCATGTTGGCTGCGTGCAAGGCAAACGCCCTACCCGCTGTGCTATCGCTCCAGCCCCAGTGTGTATTTTCTTTCTTCCTTTTTTCTCTTTTTTTTCCCCCCTTTGGTTTTTGGGCCACACACAGCAGTGCCAAGAGCCTTTTCAAATATTCATTGACCATTTGGCTACCTTTTTTTTCCTCTCTCTCTTTTTTTTTTTTAATGAAGTCTAGTCAGGTACTTTACACATTTTTCTGTTGGATTTTCTTTTTTTCTTACTGATGTGTAGAAATTCTTTATTTCTTCTGGAACTGGACTAGTCTTTCTCAGATATATATAAATGCCTGTTTCCTCCTGCCCTGTGGTTTGACCACCATAAATTTTAATAACAAGAGCAGTGAAAAGAACCTCAATATCCAGCCGAAAGAGGTCAAATGAATTTTAAAATGTGTGTCTATTCCAGAATTCATTGCTGTAAACTTGCGTTAAATGAAATGCAAGAGGCCAAAAAAAATTTTTTTAAGAAAACATATGTCTCCAGGGCCTGGAGCCATCATTAGTACAGCGAGTAGGATGCTTGCCTTGCATATGGCTGGCCTGGGTTCAGTCACTGACACCCTCCCCGCTCCCCCATATGGTCCCTCAAGCACCACCAGGACTAATTCCTGAGCACTGAGTAACCCCTGAGCAACACTGGGTGTGACATAAATAATAAAACTACAATAACAAATATGTGTGTGTCTGCATACATGTATATTGCAGAATTCCCTATGTAGAAATAGACTTTTTTTTCCTTAGATATTAAATGTAAACATTTAGGTACTTCACTTAAAAAAATGTATTGATTAAGATTCTGTGATTTGGGGCTAGAGCAATAGCACAGCGGGTAGGGCGTTTGCCTTGCACGCGGCCAACCCTGGTTCGATTCCCAGCATCCCATATGGTCCCCCGAGCACCGTCAGGAGTGATTCCTGAGTGCAGAGCCAGGAGTAAACCCTGAGCATGGCCAGGTGTGACCCAAAAAGCAAAAAAAAAAAAAAAAAAAAAAGATTCTGTGATTTATTTGGAACCAGAGATCGTTCATTGGGGAAGGTGCTTGGCTTACAGGCAGCCAACCAGAGTTCGATCCCTGGCAGTCCCCTAAGCCCACCAAGAGTAATTCCTGAGTGCAGAGCCAAGAGTGATCCCTCAGCAGTGCTAAGTGTGGCCGGAAAACAAAACAATTCTGTGCTTTACGTTCTATTAATAATGGTGCTTGGGGACTTGAGAATTCATAGTACTGCGGGGAAGGTGCTAGCCTTGCATGCAGCTGACCCAGGTTCAATCCCTGACACCCCATGGGGTCTCCGGAGCACCACCAGGAGTGATCCCTGAGTTGCAGAAACAGGAGTAAGTCCTATGCACCACCAACTGTGGCCAAAAAATATATATATATATATTTTTTTTTTTCTCATGCACGTAATTCCAACACCACAGCCATCACCATTTGTATATTGAAGCATAGAAAGTTCTGGAAAGGTTGGAAGGCTATAGAAGAGACTCGAGGGTAGCAGTCTCGAGGGTGGCAGTCTCGAGGGTGGCGGAAAGTCTCACTTCTCCCTGTGAGGCCTCTGAGGTCTGTGAATGTTGACTCTGACGTGTGAGGTATTTCCCGCCCGTTTCCCACGTTGCCCTGATACCCGTGAGCCTGGAGCGGAGACCCCCCGTGACGGTCTCTGACTGGCTTCTGTGTTGGCCCTGCAGCTCTCTGGATGAGACCACCTACGAAAGGCTGGCGGAGAAGACCCTCGACGCCTTGGCAGAGTTTTTCGAAGATCTTGCAGACAAGCCTTACACCTCGGACGATTATGACGTCTCCTTTGGGGTACGTCCTTGCTTATGTGCAACTTTAACTTAGGGTTGCCTCCCTGCAACTTTTTACGAGAAGAAAGAACTCAGAGCCAGAGAAATAATAGTACGGGGTTTAGGTAAGGGGCCAGCCTTGCATACGACCGGCCTGGTTTTAGTCCCCAGCACTACACATGGTCCCCAGAGCACCGCCAGGCATGATCCCCGAGCCAGGAGTAAAAACCTGAGCACTGCCCCATGTGCCCCCCAAAAAACAAACAAACCAAAAAATAGAGAATTTCTATGCCAAAGAAATAGTACAATAGATGGGGCACTTGCCTCACACACAGCCGACCTGGGTTCAATCCTCAGCCTCCCATGTGGTCTCCTGAGCACTGCCAGGAGGGATTCTTGAGTACAGAACCAAAGAGTAACCCCGAAGCGTCTCTGGGTCTGGCCAAAAACCAAAGTAACAAACATAAAAGAATTCCCTTGTAGGTCCTGGAGTGAGCTCAGCAGCTCGATGTGCCTTTTTTTTTTTTCTTTTTGGGTCACACCCGGCAATGCACAGGAGTTACTCCTGGTTCATGCACTTAGGAATTACTCCTGGCGGTGCTCGGGGGACCATATGGGATGCCGGGAATCGAACCCCAGTCGGCTGAGTGCCAAGGCAAACAAATGCCCTACCCGCTGTGCTCTTGCTCCAGCCCCTCTGTGTGCTTTTCATGCGTGAGGCCCCAGCATCACCTGGTCTCTGAGCCTGCCTGGAGTGACCCCAGGCACCCAGCTAGGGGTAGCCCTGAGCACCGCCGGGTGTGGCCTTAAAAACAGAGAAAATCTTGGGGTGAGGGTGAGGGGCGGGGGAGCACACCTGGCCGTGCTCAGGACTCACTCTGTGCTCTGGAATCATTCCTGGGGGGCTCGGGACCATCTGGGCTGCCCTGGATCGAGGCAAACACCCTGCCTGCTGTACTGAGCCCCAAAGCAGACACCTTAGCCTGGAGATTTCATGCAGGCGACCCTAGCAGGCGACCAAGCATTCTACCTTGATTTCCAAACAACTTTTATTTGCTTGCTATTGCTTTCTTGTGACTTGCTGTGGTGCTTTGAGCTTCTGTAATCACAGGGCTGTGCTGTGGTGGCACAGGGACCCTGGCAGCGGAGGCCCCCCACACCACCAGGAGCAGCCTAGCGCAGCTGGGGCAGGATCAAACTTGTAGCAAAAAAAAAAAAAAATCATTTCCCAGGGGATTCAAATTTGCATCCGGAGGGCAAACCCCTAAGCCAGGTGGTAGCCTCAGGCAGGTACCTTGGAAGTGCTGCTCTGCACCAGCTGGCCACCAGGTGGCAGACGTGAGCTAGCGGGGCGGCTTAGAACACTACTGGGCGGAGCCTCCTCCCCCTGCCGACGGTTAATTAACACCAGAGTCTGTTGTCTGGGTGCATTTGGCATTGAGTTGTGTCATTAAAGTGAACTTTTCGATTTTGTTTTGTTTGTGGGAGGGAGGCAGGGAGGGAGGGGCCACACCCGACTGTGTTCAGGGGTCACTCCTGGCTCAGTGCTCAGGGATGGTTCCCGGCAGGCTTGGGGAAGCCGTCTGGAGTGCCGGGGATCGAACCCGTGTCACCCCACCCGCTGTACCGAAGGGACCCCGTAGATGGAGCCGGCAGGAGGGTCTTGGAGAGCGTATCAGGCCTGGTTGGAAAGTAGTGAAACTAGAGCACCAGAGAGATGAGCCAGTGGGTAGGGCGGGCCTGAGTTTGATCCTTCAAGCTCCGCCAGGAATAGCCCAGAAGGAAGTAGGGAGGGACCCAGGCCCTGGGAAATCCTTCCCCACATCTGCAGTACAGAACCAGAAGAGACCCCTGAAGACTACGGCGGGCCGGCGGGCGCAGACTCCCGCTGTCTGTTGGCAGTGGGGGAAGGGGTCTGGTTTAGCCCCCTGGACCCAGTAAATGAACTGGGTCCACCCTCCGTGGGGTGCCGGAGAGGGTGGCATTAGCCTCAGGTTCATGGGGGTTATGTTGGGATTAAATAAAGTCCCCCCAGAAAAGCTTCCTAGACATCATTCTCCTCCCCAGGAGGCAGCTGGCTTCTATTTTCAGAGAGTCGGAAGCCACTTAGATGCAGAATCTGGGCGCGACGTGGGTCCCCTCGGCGCCTGGCGTCTGCAGATGAGCTGCTGACAAGGGCCCGGCTATTTCTGCTCCCCGTCCCCAGGGCGGGCCCACACTGGTGGGTGGGAACCACACAGCCTCACCAGCCAGGCCCCGTCCCAGTGGGCCAGCGTGCAGGTCGCAGCAGCTGCTGAAGGCTTGGACCATTCCTTCCGCCTGCCTCCCCTCCGGGCACTGAAGTCTGCCCACGCCCCATCCCCCAAGCAGTAACAGTCAGACCCTCCTCATCATCTGGCCTGCCCCAGACGGTCCCACACCTCCCAGACCCACGGCCTGTTCTCTGCCTCCTCCTGCCACTGGGTTTTGGAAACGGCAGCCAAAGGCCTGGGAGGGGCCGGAGCGATAGCCCAGCGGGGAGGGCGTTTGCCTTGCACGCGGCCGACCCCAGTTCGATCCCCGGCATCCCATATGGTCCCCTGAGCACTGCCAGGAGTCATTCCTGAGTGCAGAGCCAGGAATAACCCCTGCTCATTGCTGGGTGTGAGGCGAGACAGGAAAGGTGTCAGGGGAAAGGAAAGGCTTGAGATCTGCGCGGCTGAACAGATACCCTGTTGCTGGACTCTTTGGGAGCAAGCAGCTGCCCTTCCTACCCGCCCCCCACCCCACCCCCACCCCCACCGGGCCCGCAGGTCCCCTTGAGGCTTTCTGATTGGGGCCAGAGAGCAAGCTGGGTGGGCGGGCGGAGCATCTGCCGTGTGTGCTGAGAGCCGGCCAGAGTTCCTCCCCAGCACCTCAGGGTGCCCGAGCTTGTCGCAGGGGCCAGAGTCATCCCTCAGCTCAGAAGCCACACGGAAAGACCAGGCCGTTACATGGGCAGGAGTGGCCTTTGGTGACGCCCCCAGTTCCTGCCAGGATCGTCTGTTGGGTTCCCCTTGGAGGTGTCAGGGCCTCTCCTCGTCCGAATCTGGAGGGGCAGCACAGGCTCACGAGACGGGCCAGGGACACCCCCCCCCCCAGCCCAGACCCCGGGCCTGCGCAGAGTGTGGGAGCCACCCAGGAAACCAGCGTCTGGGTCCCTGAGCCCAAGGTCCCAGGGGAAAAGAAGCCGCGGGCGGGGGTGCGGCAAGAGGACAGGCATGTGAGGGGCTCGGCCTGCTTCTGCGGAGGGACAGGCGCGCGCTCTGACCGTGGGTGCCCTTGCCCTGCAAACCGCCCTACAGTCCGGCGCTAGAAAACTATCCAGTAAGACCAATGCAGTGTCATCGGTGTGTTCATGTGAGCAGTTGAGACGCAGTCCAGCTGGAATAGGAAGGCAGGTTGGGGGAAATTGTAGAGAGCACCAGGGGCCGGGTGGGGCGCTTGCCTGGCAGCTGGTCCACCGCGGGGTTCTGGGAGGCCTCTGGTCCCTGGAGCTCAGGGGTCTGCCAGAGGAGGGGCCGATTCCTCCCTCCAGGGCTGTGAGTGTGTCGCAGGCAGTTCACACCGGGGCCAGGTGCACTGTGTCCAGAGCAGAGCGCATGCTTCTGCTCAGGTTGGTTTCATTTTCTCCCTCCCTCCCCCCAGAGTCTCTGGAATCTCTCCCCACATGCTCTCAATTTAAAAACAATGATAAAAAGCTGGAGCCAGAGCAGTAGGACAGGAGTGAAGGCCTTTTCCTTCCCTGAGCCAGGTCGGGTTCTGTCTCTGGCACCTTCACAATGGCCCAGGAGCCCCCACAAGTGATCCCTGAGCACACGGAGCCGGGAGGGAGCTCCGAGCACTGTTGAGGTGGCCCCAAACAAACAAAAGAAGTTATGAAAAAGAACTCAGTAGAGGGGCTAGAGAGAGAGTACAGTGGGCAGGGCGTTTGCCTGGCACGCTGCCGACCTTGAGGCATCCCTTAATGGTCCCCTGAGCACAGCCCGGAGTGATCCCTGAGTGCAGAGACAGGAGTAACCCTGAGCATCTCCGGTGCAGTTCAAAACAAAACCAAAACCAGGGTCTGGAGCAATAGCACAGCATTTGCCTTGCACGTGGCCAACCCGGGTTCGATTTCCTGCATCCCATATGGTCCCCCGAGCACCGCCAGGGGTAATTCCTGAGCACAGAGCCAGGAGGAACCCCTGTGCGTCGCCGGGCGTGACCCAAAAAAAAGCAAAAATAAATAAATAAAAATAAATAAAGTGAGCCACGTGAATCTTGGTTTCCTGGTACATTGAAGAGCAGTGCTTATTAACCTCTTGTCCTTTTTTTTTTTTCCTTTCCCTTTTTGGGTCACACCTGGCGATGCACAGGGTTACAGGGTTTTCTCCTGGCTCTGCACTCAGGAATGACTCCTGGCGGTGCTCAGGGGACCCTATGGGATGCTGGGAATCGAACCCAGGTCGTTCGGCTGAGTGCAAGGCAAACGCCCTCCCCGCTGTGCTGTCACTCCAGCCCCGCCTCTTGTCTTTTAAAGTGCACAGAAGCATTTGGTCAAAAAGGAAGGAGCGAGAGGGAAGGGAGGGAAGGGAGAAGGGGGAGACCCAGGAATTTAAGAAGACTATTGAGTGAGTACAGCAGGGAAGGCAGAAGGCCTTGCAAGGGGCTGGTGGGGGTCAGTCCCTGACGCAGGCGCCTTGATCCCTTGAGCGTCGCCAGGATAAACCCAGAGCAGAGCCGGGCGTGGCCCAGAAAGCAGAGAGCAAGGGAGGGAGGGAGGAGAGAGACAGAGAGGGGCTGTTGGCCCAGAATGATGGCGCAGAGGGCTGCTGGGGGCCTGGGTCCCTTCCCCAGCGCCCCCACCGTTGCTAGTAACCGTTGCGTTTCTTTGCTTCCTTTCCTCCTTCCCCGTCCCCTCCCCCCCCCAGAGTGGCGTTTTAACCGTCAAACTGGGCGGTGATCTGGGAACCTACGTGATCAACAAGCAGACCCCAAACAAGCAGATCTGGCTGTCCTCACCCACCAGGTGAGTTTCCCCGCCAGAGTCAGCCCTTGTTCCGTTTGTCGTGATGTTGTGCTCTGTGTGGCGAGTGACCCGCTGACGCATTCGGACAGTGCCCGCGAGTCTCATCCCCGGTGGGAGGCTTCCTCTGGGCGCCGTCACTTCTCTCTGCCGCCCCAAGCAGAGATCAGGATGTTCACCAGGTCCAAAGTGAAGAGCTTCAGAATCAGTTTCCCTGTTAGGTCGTTGCCCAGAATATCTTGAGTCAATATTCTGTTTCAGTATTTGTCGCGGGGACCACGTCCAGCAGTGCTCAGGGGCTGCTTATGGCTCAGTGCTCGGAGGACCTTAGCGCAGTCCAAGGGGTCGAACGCAGGCCTCTAGCATGCAAAGCGTGTGCCCAGCCCCTCAGACTCTCTCCGGCAGCCCTGCCCCTGACACACCTCTGGGCACTGCAGCATCTGAACCAGGTGTGCTTGGCACTTTGGAGCAAGCTCAGGTGTCGCCTCCCTTAGGTTCTGTGCATCTCGGCCAAGGGCCACTTTGAAGTCCCTTTGGACCCCCGGGCCGTGTGCACTGTGGCCTTGGGGAGCTCTCTCTCTCTCTCTCTCTCTCTCTCTCTCTCTCTCTCTCTCTCTCTCCTTTTTGGGTCACACCCAGCGATGCTTGGGGTTCCTCCTGGCTCTGCACTCAGGAATTACTCCTGGCGGTGATCGGAGGACCGTATGGGATGCTGGGAATCGAACCCGGGTCAGACATGTGCAAGGCAAACGCCCTAACTGCTATACTAGCGCTCTGGTCCTCTCTCAATTGAATAACCATGAATTACAAAGTCCCATGAATATCCGTGATTGAGTGTCAGGCGTAGAATGTCCCGCGCTGGTCCCTTAACCAGCGCCCCCCCTCCCTTCTGCCCTCCTGCCCCCATGTCCACATGTTCCCTTCCCTGACTTTGGTCTGGGTGCGGCGTGGGGGGGGCGGGTGTGCACCCCACTTTGCGATGCTCACGGCTCATTCCTGGGACTGCTCAGGAATTACTCGTGGTGGTGCTCGGGGGACCCCGTGGAACGCTGGGGATCGATCGCAGATGCCCTCCCTGCTGTATGATTGCTCCCACCCCTCCCTCCCCTAACTTCTCCTTCCCACCCCTGCCCCAGTGCCCAGCCTCCTGCCGAACCCAGTTCTCCTGCTGCTCTTCGTGTCTCTGGCCACTGAGCATTTGAGATTCCCCACGCGTGAGGGAGACCATCCTGCATCTCCTCCTCTCTGACTGATTTCATTCCGCACGATCCTCTCCAGACCCGCCCACATTGCCGTGACTCCACATGTCCTTACCCTCCAAGGAGTATCCCACTGTGTACACGGACCGTGGATCCTTGACCCAGGCGTCTGTTCTCGGGCACTCAGGCTGTTTCCAGATCCTGGCTGTCGTGAATAGTGCGGCAGTGAACGCAGACGCATAGACGCCTTTTTTGCTGTGGGTTTTTTTGGAGCTTTGGGTTGTATTCCTGGCAGTGGAACTGCTGGGTCAGACGGAAGCTCGGTTTCTAGATTTTTGAGAGATGTCCGTATTGTCGTCCCGAACGTCAGGCCCGGTTGACGTCCCCCCCCCAGTGGTGAAGGAGGGTCCCTGTTCCCGTGGGAGCTTCTGGAGCCGCTCTCTCGGGCAGCTCACCCCTCTCCACCCCACCCCACCCCCACTGGCTGTTGCTGAACTTCCGTCCCGTGTGTCCAAATGGCCCCGCTGTGCCTCAGCTGACTGCCAGCAAAGGGACTGAGAAACTGAAAGCAGCTGGAGGGCCAGAGCCATATAGCAAGTCCAGCAGGTAGCATATTTGTTTCGCATGTGTCCGACCTGGGTTCGATCCCTGGCATCCCATATGATCTCCTGAGCACAGAGCCAGGAGTAACTCCTAAGCATCACCAGGTGTGGCCAAAAAAAGAGAGAAAGGAAGGAAGGAAGGAGGAAGGGAGAAAGGGAGGAAGGAAGGAAGGAAGGAAGGAAGGAAGGAAGGAAGGAAGGAGGAAGGGGAGGAGGGGAGGGGAGGGGAGGGGAGCGGCAGGCGGGCCATAGTACACCCACAGGCACTTACCTTGCTCACAGAGTAGCTGGGTTTAATCGCCAGCCTCACCGGGGCATGAATGATCCCTTCCCACAGAACTACGAGTTGGGCCTGAGCACAGCTGGGTGTGGCCCAAAAAGACAAAAGAAAAGAAAAAAGAAGTGAAAGCTGAGCAGCCAGTCTTCCCGGATCACTCACGAGCACTTCCGAAGAGCAATAAGGACTAGAAATTGGGAAACTCCAACTATATCATCAGTACGGAATTCTCGGAAGTCGAGTGGTTGTTTGCATCTTGGGGGGTGGGGGCGGCTTAGGGCCTCATCCCAGGTAGATCAGGGCTAACTCCTGGCTCTGTGCTCAGGGACTGATCACTCCTTAGCAGGCTTGGGCGATCACGTCAGGGACTAGGGGTTGAGCCTGGGTCAGCCACGTGCAAGGCAAGCACCTACTTGCCATACGATCTCTCCAGCCCTACATTTTTTATCATTAAAATTCCGTACAATTTGGGGCTGGGGCAATAGCACAGCGGGTAGGGTGTCTGCCTTGCATGCGGCCTACCCTGGTTCGATTCCCAGCATCCCATATGGTCCCCTGAGCACCGCCAGGGGTAATTCCTGAGTGCAGAGCCAGGAGGAACCCCTGTGCATGGCCAGGTGTGACTCAAAAAGCAAAAAAAAAAAAAATTTGTACAATAAATCTTGGGCTGGAGCGATAGCACAGCGGTAGGGCGTTTGCCTTGCATGCAGCCAACATGGCAGACCCAAGTTTCATTCCTCCACCCCTCTCGGAGAGCCCGGCAAGCTACCGAGAGTATCTCGCCCACATGGCAAAGCCTGGCAAGCTCCCCGTGACATATTCGATATGCCAAACACAGTAACAACAAGTCTCACGAAGGAGACGTTACTGGGCCCACTCGAGCAAATCGATGAACAACGGGAGGACAGTGACAGTGACAGTGACAGTGACAATAAATCTTACCTCGTCCAAAGCTGCCATCATTTTTTTTTTATTAGTGAGACACCATGAGGTACAGTCATAGACTTACAAATTTTTGTGCTTGGGTTTCAGTTATACAATGATCGAGTACCCATCCCTCCACCAGCGCCCATCCTCCACCACCGCGGGTCCCAGCATCCCCCCCACCCCCCATCCCCCCCATCCCAACCTGTCTCTGTGGCAGGGCATTCCCCCTTGTTCTCTCTCTCCTCTTGGGTGTTGTGGTTTGCAAAAGAGGCAGTGGGTGGCAATCGTGTTCGGTCTATAGTCTACTTTCAGCCATCATTTTGAGGCAGGTAACGATAGACAGTTTCTCGCCCTGTGACGTGTACTTTTTTGTCCCATGTGAATTAAGTCTGAACTTCCTTTACTGCAGCCCCCTTTAGGAAGTAAACATCCACAGAAAACAACTGCAGAAATAAGTCGTTGCCAGCCAGGCCTGTATTCAGAGAGTGTGGCTTTTATTCTGTGGTTCTTTCATTTCGTGGTCCCTCATTCCCCTGACCCTGAAAGAGCCCCCAATATGCCATCGGGCTACACTAGCACGTGACAGGGATGAATGGAGATGTGACTGGCGCCCGCTCGAGCAAATCGATGAAAGACGAGGTGATCGAGATAGTGATATTTCGTGGTGCCAGGGATCGAGCCGAGGGTCTCACACGTGCAAGGCATGCCACGTCTCCAAAGTCTGAAAGCTGCCGGTCAGCGTGGGAGAGAGAGAGCTGGTGACTAGCCAAGGTTTGAGCCCAGTGCCTGAGACCTGATCCCTGAGCACAGAGCCACGAGTCAACCCTGCACACCAATGGGGGCCACTCCCCAGATACAAACAGAGAGACCCTTTGGTCGAGTGTGGTGTGTTTTCACGCCAAGAACTGCTCCAGAGTCGCCCTAGAATCAGTGTCACCGGTCACCTTTAGAGGAGCCCGGCACACCTCCACCGTGGGGGTCTCAGTCGCTGTTTCGCTGGCTTCGGCCCGGAGGGGCACGCCCGCACACTCCCTGTCTCTCTTTTTTCTTCCAGTGGGCCCAAGCGTTACGACTGGACGGGGACGAACTGGGTGTATGCCCACGACGGGGTGTCCCTCCATGAGCTGCTGGCCGCCGAGCTGACCGACGTCTTAAAAACCAAACTGGACTTGTCCTCCTTGGCCTATGCTGGGAAAGGACCCTGACGCCCAGCGCAGCCAAGATGCTGAACCCCCGGAACCCAGAGGCGCCCGGTCCCGAGCCCGGCTCTCTCGTTTCCCTACAGGCGTTGGGGGCTTGCTCTGTGCCTTGTCCCTCTCCACGGAGCCGTGGGACAGTGTCCAGGACCCGGTCGCCTGGACTCCCGCAGAGAAGGAAGAGAAACGCTTTTGTTCTCCGCTCCACTCTCTGAAGGACCTGCCTTAGACACCGCGTGGGGAGCAGCCAGCTGACCTCGCCCCTGGTCTCCGGACGAGCCTCCGGGAAGGGGAGCAGCTCTCCGTGCTCCCTCGCCCTGTGGGACACGGGAACATGTCCCAGCCCTCGCAGACTGGAGTGTCAACCGCTGTGTGAAATGCACATAAACCAGGGCCGTTGTCTCTGTTGTGGTTTGTGTCTGCCGGGGGATGGCCTACAGAAGCTGTGACCTTGTCTCCCAGAGGGGTGTGTGTGGGTGTGGGTGTGCGTGTGTGTGTGTGTGGCCTGCATGGGTGACTCAGGCTGTTGCCGTGTCTCCCAGAGCTCTGTGTGTGTGTGTGTGTGTGTGTGTGTGGCCTGCATGGGTGACTCAGGCTGTTGCTGTGTCTCCCAGAGCTCTGTGTGTGTGTGTGTGTATGTGTGTGTGTGTGTGTGTGTGTGGCCTGCATGGGTGACTCAGGCTGTTGCCGTGTCTCCCAGAGCTCTGTGTGTGTGTGTGTGTGTGTGTGTATGTGGCCTGCATGGGTGACTCAGGCTGTTGCTGTGTCTCCCAGAGCTCTGTGTGTGTGTGTGTGTATGTGTGTGTGTGTGTGTGTGGCCTGCATGGGTGACTCAGGCTGTTGCCGTGTCTCCCAGAGCTCTGTGTGTGTGTGTGTGTGTGTGTGTGGCCTGCATGGGTGACTCAGGCTGTTGCTGTGTCTCCCAGAGCTCTGTGTGTGTGTGTGTGTGTGTGTGTGTGTGTGTGTGTGGCCTGCATGGGTGACTCAGGCTGTTGCTGTGTCTCCCAGAGCTCTGTGTGTGTGTGTGTGTGTGTGTGTGTGTGTGTGTGTGTGTGGCCTGCATGGGTGACTCAGGCTGTTGCTGTGTCTCCCAGAGCTCTGTGTGTGTGTGTGTGTGTGTGTGTGTGTCCTGCCTGCATGGGTGATTCAGGCTGTTGCCGTGTCACCCAGAGCTCTGTGTGTGCGTGTGTGTGTCCTGCATGGGTGACTCAGGCTGTTGCTGTGTCTCCCAGAGCTCTGTGTGTGTGTGTGTGTGTGTGTGTGTGTGTGTGTGTGTGTGTGTGTCCTGCCTGCATGGGTGACTCAGGCTGTTGCCGTGTCACCCAGAGCTCTGTGTGTGTGCGTGTGTGTGTCCTGCATGGGTGACTCAGGCTGTTACCGTGTCTCCCAGAGCTCTGTGTGTGTGTGTGTGTGTGTGTGTGTGTGTGTGTGTGTGTGTGGCCTGCATGGGTGACTCAGACTGTTGCATGTCTCCCAGAGCTCTGTGTGTGTGTGTGTGTGTGTCTGTGTGTGTGTGTCCTGCATGGGTGACTCAGGCTGTTGCTGTGTCTCCCAGAGCTGTGTGTGTGTGTGTGTGTGTGTGTGTGTGTGTGTGTGTGTGTGTGGCCTGCATGGGTGACTCAGGCTGTTGCTGTGTCTCCCAGAGCTCTGTGTGTGTGTGTGTGAGCAAACACTCCCGTGTGTCCACTTTGTTTTTAATGTAAGGGTCAGTGGGCAGGAATAGTAACTCACGTCGGAGAATGCAGAACCTCTAGCGGAAGTGGGAGAGCTCTCTTCCTACACTCCCACATGTCTGGCGTGGCGGTGGGCCAAGGGGGTCGGAGGACCTTGTGAAGGGCCCCATAACCCACTGGGTGCTGGCGTTACTCACAGGGACCCTGCCTCTTGGCTGGAAAGGTAGTACAGGAGTTACGGCACTGGCCTTCCCCGAGAACAGTGTGAATTTGGTCCCCTGGCACCTCTGAGCCCCACCAGGAGTGATCCCTGAGCGCAGAGCCAGGAGGAAACCCTGAACTCCAGCAGGTGGGGCCAAAGAACCACAAAGCAAAGAGAACTTGCCCACCCCTCTGCCACCCTAAGCCATGAGGCCGTGGGCTTGAGTTCCTGGCCCAGCGTAGGCCCCGACACTCACTGCAGAACGTGGCCCCATGGTGCTAGTAACAAACAGAAAAATGAATTAAGAAAAGTAGGTGGGGCCGGAGCAGTAGGACAGCAGGTAGAGCGTTACCTTGCACAAGTCCGACCAGGGTTCGATCCCGAGCATCCCGTATGGTCCCCCCAGCACTACCAGAAGTAATTCCTGGTGCAGAGCCAGGAGTAACTCCTGTGCATTGCCAGGTGTGACCCAAAAAGCAAAAAGAAAAAAATGTGCAGAAAGAATCTATTGTGGATGGGGTGGGGAGGGGGGGTGCAGAGCAATAGTGTACCAGGGAGGGTGACGAGGGTGACCTTGCCCCGCATGTGGCCAGCCCGGGTTCCATCCCTGGCACCTTAGGTGGTCTCCTGAGCACTGCCAGGAGTGATCCCTGAGCCCTGGCAAGTGTGGCCTCAAAACCAAAAATAATAATCAGGCACTAGAGTGATAGTACAACGGGTAGGGCATTTGCCTTGCACGTGGCCGACCTGGGTTCGACCTCTGTCATCCCATCTGGTCCCCTGAGCACTCTAGAATGCAGAGCCAGGCGTAGTAAGCCCTGACCAGGCGTGACCCCTCCCAAAAACACCTGGGAAGATTGATCCTCCTCCTCCTTTTGGTGCAGGAGACCAGAAAGGGAGTAAGGCGTGTGTCTTGCACGTTTGAGCCAGCAGCAGAGTCAACCTCACAGCCGCCACCTTAGTCTCAGCTTCTGGCCACCAGAGCATCGACAAACAAAGCTCTGTGGAGATGCCACCCCGGTGGAGACCGACCCCCTCCTGCAGAATATGACATCCCTGCTTTAGTGTTTGGGTCACACCTTCGGGGCTGGGGCCACCCTTGGCGCAGTGCTGGAGGGGCTCCAGGGCACTGTCCCCGAACCAAACCCCTGCTTCCTGCATGAGCTCCAGTCACGGCCAGACCTTGTTTAAACGTTGACTGACCTAGAGTTGACACAGCGCTCAGAAACAATGAAAAGTCGCCTTGCACTTTGTTCCCGTGTTGTTCTGACTCAAGGCATGATTTATTCGGGACAAGCCTGCACAAACACGTATCGAAGACTTGCATTCGGTGGCCGCAGACACATTCCATGGTAGAAACAAGCGCTTAACAATGGAACAGCGTAAGCTCGTGTTAGATTGGTATGTAGAATATTTCCTTATTCCGGAAGTAAAAATAGGTTTGAGGGCTGGTGGAAAATTGTACGTGGGATAGGTCAGAATCGGGAGGAAAATTCCTTGTGTGTCGAAGGGGTGGTGAAGACTGTGGCAAGCCTGTCTGGGTTTTCTTTGTACCGCACTAACTTGGAATTCGGCTCAGTGGTTTGCTCCCCTGTCTGGAACACAACAAAAAGCCAAGGAAGTATGGAAGTTGGGAAATTCAAATTCTAGTCCTGATGACCCAGACTTTTTTTTCAACAGGATAAAGGGGGAGGCGAAGGGGGGACACCCTGAGATATACAAGGATTACAACAGGCTCGATTTGCTCCAATGGAGACGTTACTGGGCCCGCTCGAGCAAATCGACGATCAACGGGAGGGCCTTTACTTTACCTTACTTACTTACAACAGGCTCTGCACTCAGAAATTACTGCTGGCAGTGCTCAGGGGACCAGATGGGTGCCAAGCATCAAACCGGGTCAGCCTCATGTGAGGCAGATGCCCACCCTCTGTCTCCTGCTCCAGCCCCGCAGGGCCTAGCCTTTTGGGCCAATCTACATTTCCTTTACTTGCAATTTTAGTTCCTAAGACCCTGTAAGAGTCCAGAGTCCCATTGAAGCAAAAGCAGCCCAGGGAGAGGCTGGAGCCATAGCACAGCGGGTAGGGCGTTTGCCTTGCACGAGGCCAACCCAGGTTCGATTCCCAGCATCCCGTATATTACCCCGAGCACCACCAGGAGCTCCTAGGGTCTGGGTGTAGCCCGCCAGGCCCTAGGTTTAATTCCTATCACTGCAAACAAGAAATAAAAATAAACAGCCCCTTCTGGGAGGCTGGAACAATAATACAGCAGGGCGGTTGGCTTGCACGCAGCCAATCTGGGTCCAATTCCTCTGTATCCCATATGGTCCCCCAAGCACTCCCAAGAGAGATCCCTGAGTGCAGAGCCAGGAGTAAGCCCTGAGAAGTGCAGGGTATGACCCCCAAACTTAAAAATTTTTAAATTAAGGGCTGGAGAGATAGCACAGCGGGTAGGGCGTTTGCCTTGCACGCGGCCGACCCGAGTTCGATTCCCAGCATCCCATATGGTCCCCTGAGCACTGCCAGGAGTAACTCCTGAGTGCAAGAGCCAGGAGTAACCCCTGTGCATGGCCAGGTGTGACCCAAAAAGAAAAAAAAAAATTAAGCACAATACGTGGGATTAGGACTCCCATAGATCTTAGGTAGAATCAAGTTGTGCAGAGGAGGCAAGGGCAGAGGGAGGAACCTTCAGTTTTCCAGGCCCTTTTGCTTCGTTGACAGCGTCTGTTGGTTCAGAGTGCAGAGATTTGGGGCTGGAGAGATAGCACAGCGGGTAGGCGTTTGCCTTGCATGGGCCAACCCGGGTTCAATTCCCAGCATCCCATATGGTCCTCTGAGCACCGCCAGGTGTAACCCAAAAAGCAAAAAAAAAAAAAATGCAGTGATTTGATTAATCATGATATAATTTATAGCAGAAAAGGTCTGTTTATATAAGAAATATTTTAATACAAAATGAAGTGATATATATATATGTGTGTGTGTGTGTGCCCGGAGCCGGAGGTTCTTCGTCCTCTTAGCTATTTCTTCGATGTTCTTGAAGGCGTTCCAAGTCGCTCTCTTCCTCCTGCGCAGAACCTCCGGCTCCGTCCGGACACATCTCTTTGATTCCACTGTTCTTCCTGCATTAACATACGCCTCAGAGACCTGGGCCCTACGCAAACAGGATGAGAACGCTATTCGGGTCTCCCAAAGAAGAATAGAAAGAGCTATGCTTGGAATATCACGTTTCACTCAAATGAGAGAACGAATCCGGAGTTCTGACATCCGTCGACAATCAAGAATCAGGGACGCTGTCTCATTTGCCAAGGTGTCAAAAATCAGATGGGCTGGTCACGTAACGAGATTTAAAGACAACCGCTGGACTAGAGCTGTTACCGACTGGATTCCACGGGATGTCAAAAGACCGCGTGGCCGCCCACCTACCAGATGGTCAGACTTCTTCGTCAAGATCATGAACGATCGGTTTGAGGCCCTTCATGTTCCCGGAGCGAACAGATGCCATTGGGCTACACTAG